TATAATATTTATACATTTCAATGTGACCTCCCTTACTTGACACACATCTAAGTGATATTCAAATTCCTCATAAACCTATTGAAGCATGTGGACTGTAATAACATTTATGGCGCCTGTAACTCCAAATAAAAAAAATCATAGATTATAAGGTCTGTTGAATGAGGTTACCAAAAACAAAATGTAGAGTCATTATCACTACAGTATTCAATTCATCGTAGTGATAGCTGATCGTTAAGACATTTCTGAATTCTAGTGGCCAATGACCAATGTGGTGGTGTCTCATCTTGTTGTATGACAAAATAATTTCCATTGGTAATCTAAAGAACTTGATAAGCCTAATAATTCAGATGGTTGATGCTTCGTTTACCACAAACTACAAGAAAATAATATTCATAGTCTATTAAAATTAGATGAATTATTTTGAAACACACTGTATAAACTACATCATAACTACACTAAAAATATAATGTTACATATTTTTTCAGTAGCTTTTATATTAATTTATTACTTGACTGACTACAGACATTTTAATAAGTAAAGATCAATATGCATATATTAGTTTTCGGTATACTTAATTTAGTTCAAACCTTAATATAATATAACGCCTTAAAACACTAGAACATTTATTTTTCTTGTTATACTATATTTTCTTTCATTCACTTTGAACTTTAAGTTATTAAATTACCATTTACCATAATATTTTAAAAAAGCTATACATTTTATTAAAAACTTAAATAATTCACAATTCATTACAAATACCAAATCATTAAATTTATCATAATTAATTAAATTTATTGAGAAATTTAAAAAGAAAGATTATTATAGATCACAGGGAAAGATAATGCAATATATTAATTTAACTAACTAAAATAGTGTCACAGATAATAATAACACTATAAGAAAAATACATTTTCTTTTTCATTTCTTGGTTTTAAAAGTTAATTAATGTGATGATGGCAGTTTGTTCGGCAAGTTTGACAGCTTATTCAACTTTGGTTCAATTTTAATTAGAAAATCTCCACACGACAATTAATATTTCTTAAATAAGCGCTTTTATAGATATGAAACATGATTTTGTAAATATCTATGAACCATTCATTATTCGTAAAGGTTTTTGGGTTAGTCTAGCATATTATAATTTAAAATACATATTAAAACTAGGATATATAATGCTTTTTATCTTTATATTTCACGATATGAGATAATTAAAATTTCATGAACTAGAAAAGCTATCTTAACATAATTTATGTATTTATATATTATTATGTTGTATGAAATTATAGATGATATTAAAATATTATAAAACATATATATTTTAATATATAAAATACTCCAATAAAAATACAATAATACATATAATACATTAAATTTATAATACTCTTATCTGCTGGATTTCTGAGGTTTTTTTAAAAGTTTTCTTAAAGTAGGTTTTTATCTGGGCTTGAAAATTTTTCACTGATTTTAACGTGGAATGCTCTTTTTATTTTATTTACTCATTATTATAAGGTTAATTTAATTAATTGTGTATGCTAATAGGTAGAGTAAATCATATCATACTAAAAATGTCAATTTTTTACGAAGTATGTGATTTTTAGTACTATTATCAAGAATGTATTTTGGAGTTAAAATTTTTTTTTTTTTAATATAAAATGTTTGAAAATTTAGATTAAGGTACGAAATTAGAATATAGTAACAATTAATTTAAATACTAGATAAATAAAACAATTAAATAGTATAAAATAATATTATTTATGACCTACCTATACAATGCAACTAATACAAATAAATACACGTATTCCTATTATAGTATAATGAATTATAAAAAAAGAATAATTTTCATACTTGAAAATATAGAAAGAAAATTGTTTTTGTGTAAGGTTTAAAAATGTAATCAATAGATTATAATGTTATAAAATATAATATAGAAAATAATTAAGTAGATACCTATATTAAAACATAAAAAGTTACATTATCACTTAAAATATACTATACATTTTTATTTTAATGTAGTAGAAATTTGAGTTTTTTTTTTTTATATAATGTTTTAAATAAATGCATAGCATTGTATTTTAATCTCATAGGCTTGTGTAATTATAAAAAATATTGATAATTCATTAAGAACAATCTAATACAATAATATTTGATTGATGAGGTGTGAGTTTTAAATAAAATTTTTTTTTAAATGCTTAAATTTTAAATTTTAAATTATACTTATTTTAAACATTATACATACGTTTCATAAATATTTTTTATGACATAAAGTATATTTAAGTATATTATGCTTAATAATTGATGCGATGCAGTCTATCTTACTAATACTAATAACTTTTAAAGAAAAAAGAACCAATAATATTCTAATCAAATGAAAATAATAACTATTTTTAAAAGTTAATACTTATCAATGCCATAATAATGTATGAGGTAAAAAAAAAAATGTTCATGGTTTTAAGTAGTTTTAAACAAAAGCTTAGAAAAAGTATGATATTTTTACTATTTTTGTATCGTTATCATTTTAAGGTTTTTATTTTGAATGACACCGTGACATAAATAAAAAGCTGTCTGTGAATAAATTATGTATTAAGATTCTAATATGTATAATATAAAGATGGTTGCAAAGTTCTAAAATGTATTATATGAGATATATTATATTCAAGATATCAGCATATCAATAACTGATGAGATATTTATAATTAAATCTTTCCTCTATAACAAATTATTTGTCCTTTCTTCATTATGGAGTCACCATATCTAAAATTAAAATACTTATAGAAAAAAGTACCTCCTTATTTGAAATTTGATTTTTATGCATCAACATTAATTATTTAACATTTATTTACTTCCAGTCAAGTGCCACTAGTGGGTGGCTTCTTACTTATGTTTTCATGTATTATGTAACCATTATCAAATATGCTAATTGTACAGATTGTATAGGTATATTATTGTGTAAAATAAAAAAAAATATATCTATTTTTAGAATATAAAATTTAAAACACATAATTCCACAAATAAGCAAAAATTTAAAATAATATAACTATATAAAAATATTATAATTTTTCAAAAATTTTGTTTCATAAAAACTTCTTTTTATACTAATTAAATCAATATTTTTTATATTATGAATATGAATACTATATTTTCTGTTCAAATGGCATTGCCTTTAATATATTACATAACTTATATGAATAAATAATATAAGTATATGAATTCAATGAGCAATAATTAAAAAAAAAAATAGTGCGTAAGGATATGACTATTTTTATCACAAGCTATTTCTAATAAAATATCAATGGCCCTCGTTGTCGAACACATGCTACTTCCGACCGGAAACTTAAATGTATACCGCCGGCCAATATGTATGTAATATTATTCTCAAAGAATATCCAAAATTAGTATTTTATAAATTGTATAATATACACGTCATGGCGAGTTTTGGACAAATAAAACAAATTATCCTGTTAGTTATTTTAAGTTGACATTGATTCTAATTTGAAAGTACTAATTTTTAATAAAATATAATATTTATGTATTTTTTTAAACATATTTTCTTATTTGTAAAATATATAGAATATTGATTATTACTACACTGGCATATTATTGTAAAAGCAATAAGCTAAATCAAAATTTTAAAATAAAGATAAAAAGTTATTTTTAAAGTACATAATATATCATTATTATGATTTATGATATATCCTCAGTTTCAGCGATACTCTACCCATATACTGGCTATTCAATATGATATGTGTCTATGTGTAATGTTATTAAATCCGTATAATATGAATACAAATTATATTACACGTATACACGTTGTGTACGAATGCATAAGTAGGATATTAGATACAAAACTTGGGCTTATACTTTTTGTTATACTCAATATAATCTGATATCTCTTTTCATGCTACAACATTTTGAATCCATATTTATATTGTTCCACGAAACGGACAATTTGAATTCCGGATTAAGTTTTGTCCAGACGAGGAATTATACATATTTTACGCGTACTTAAACACTGCAGGATAGTTTTGCAGTTGTTTTTTTTCGGAATTACCTATCAAAAATTAATTACAATTGTATTTTTTCTTTCTTTTTATAGCTTTTAGTGTATTAATATTCAGTAAAACAATTTAATATTTATACAATACAAATATAACCAAAACAATAGAATTATTATTTAAGTAAATCAGCTTCCAATATAAAGATAATAATTTTTTTAATGAAAATTTCAGCATTGGTCTTGATGATGTAAAAGAGGTTGAGGAGAGGAATATTGAAATAATTGAGTAAAATTAATATCATTAATTTTATAAGCTGCTTAACTTAATACAAAAAATATTAGAAATATACGTATGTACGTACTACGTTATAATAATATATACCCACTATTAATAGTTTTTAACTAATTTTAACTAAGAAATTTCATATTCCACAGTTTTTTGATATTTTTTATGTTTTTATAATAATACAGCAATTTCATCGTTTCATAACTTGATAATGTTTTTGTTTTATTTTAAAAGCCGTAAATTTTTATACTTTATTCGACTTCATAACCTTAGCTTATTTGTAGAGAACTCCAGTTGTCCAGTTGTATTTTTGAATAATTATCACTGCGATGCTTATCTTTTGTAGGTACCTTTATATTATTGTTCATTTATTGCTTGCTTAAGTCGTGGTCGTCGTATACACATCTTGCGAACTTATTATACGATCTGTGCCGCTATGGTGATTCATGCGGTGCCCTCTGGTAATGTCTAGGGTAAGAAAACGAGAAAAAAATAATAGAAAAATCTACTCCCGAAAATCGATTTTCGCCTACATACCTTTGACGTCGATGGATTGACTATAACGGCGACCAAGACGTGTGGTGCTCTCTAGCCACGGACTGTGGTCGCCGGCAAGCACCGATGGGTGGCGACTGGCGATGCGTGTTCGGTCTTCGCCGCCGCCGTCGCCACCACCGTTGGTGGACCAGCGATCCAGCATTACGTTTAGTCGCGTCGTGCGTTTGTACCGGCACCGTCGTGGTTCGAACACTCGTCGTTAGTGTATATATTATAATATTGTTGATATACGTCTCTTACGTCCATCGAGCAATATGGATCCGAAAGATCTACCGTGAAACGTCTTCGGTTCTGGACAGTTTATATCAAATCGCAGCAGGAATCGTACTCCGAACGAGAAGCATCCGTAACGATTACTATCCCACACCGTTTCGGGTGGCCACCGAAGAGTTCTTTTCCACTAGAAATTTCGGTGAGATATCTTATTACCTATAACGGCTATAACACTCGCATATTTATTCATTAATATAACACCTTTACCAGACACATTTAACCTACTTTAATCCTATTATTTTTTGAGTAGCTACATTTTTACACGTGATACTGATTACAAACCTATACATTCTTGATCCGAATTGGCTAATTATTACTTACCCATCTAAACTAACCCGAATGCGTAGGTGTACCACCAGCCTTCCCGTTTTGCGGAAAAACTTTTTCGATGTATTCTCGTGGGACAGACCAACATTAAAAATTTGTAATTTTGTTTTCTCTAAATCTCAATTTGTTTTAACGAGTTAGCTAAACTACAGCAATAATTCTCGTGAAAAACAATCGTTTATATAACTTATAATATGCGCATACAACCCGCGTTACAGTAATAATAGATAGCAATTTAATAATACACGCGCGCTACGTTTCGTTTCACATTTGATATTGTTTCACGCGATCATATGCGAATTTACAATACTTGTTTATAAGAAAACGGAACGAGTATCCTGAGGGGAGTATCACGAACCTTATAAGTGTAATATTACAATATTATATAGATTCCTATTACCTAGCTATTTCTCGGTATCTTGAGGTTATCCACACGACTACGCGCTCATGCACATTGAAACTTCTTTAGCGAAACGTATTTTGTGCTTACCTATATATATTTTATTTCTGAATATAATTTGTGTTCATTGATCAATTTTACATAATAGTTTGAAAATCATTCTACTACGTACATATTAATATAAACGCAAAATATTGTGTCAGCAGGATGGATTGTTTATCATGTTGAAAAGGTAAAGTTACTGTTTACGAATAATACTAAACGTTTTAACTTTTAATGTTCACATTATAAAAATGAGCACTCTTCACATAATGATTCAAAAGAAGTATACTTTAATAACTGTGTAGTACATCTGGTCTGATAGGTAACTATAAAAATTAATTGATCAAAACACTCAGAGTGTGCTCCTTTATACGATATTGTCTATGTTTATTTTTTACGAGAGTGCTGTAATAATACAAATATATAGTATTGTTTATACTTCCGATAATGTATTGGCCGAGGATATATTTTGTTTTGTTATAGATTAGCTACATGTAATACACATATCTAATCTAATATATTGTGTACACTATTCCTAATTTTTCTATCAAAAAAAAAAAAAAAAACAAATTGAAACGCCATGTTCAGACGAATTGTTTGTTAAAACATATTAGTATTTCGCACTCTTAAAATATAATATCTATATGTCATATTGTCACTAAGTATACGAATTAACTGTTCTGATATTTCGGATAGTTATATTTACATACATTGAAAACATAATTACTTTGAATTTCTAGTCTTTTATTGTACATATTTCATTATCTAATTACACATTTAAATACATTCAGTTATTTGTAATTGAATTAACTTTCAGAAAAATATTTTCTGTTTATTAGGAATAATAAAATTGTATAATATAATACATGATACTTAGTTTATCTTGTAGTGACTTTCGTTCATCTTAACACGATTATTACTACCATTTAAATTATATTTTCAAGCGTATCTGAAAATCTTTATTCTCTGTTAGATATTTATTCTTGAGGTATTTAAAAATAATAATTTATTTTTCTCATTTATTCAATTTCCAAACATTACCATTTAAAATGAACTGATAAATGTATTAGTATGTTTATAGCTAGTTATAAATTTATAATATTTATTCGTGCATTTTTGTAGTCCATTCTTGTATAATTTATTTTAATATTCGTAAAAAGTTGTTGGTGTTATACTTGAATCTTTAACTTGATCTACTTTGTAATCTATTTAATAAACTTTTTTTTTATATATTTTTTACAAACCACGATTTCTTTATCTTATAAAACCTAATAAAAATAAAAATGTAAAATACAGTAGTTGGATACATATTATATAGATAAGTTGTTAAATCTTGTGGAAAATTTGTGTTGCAAATGTCAAATTTGATTGTATGAATTACCCAATTAATGTCTATACTAAAATTAAATTTTAGTTTAAAATCCATAAAGAAATAAATCTAGCAACCTTATTGCATTGTGATTCTACATTTAAATATATATTTATATATACAAAATACGTACAATTCTAGTATTATACTTAATGATTAATGCTGACAACATCTTGCGGCCCCTTTCTCAACATCCAAAAATCTTTTCTTCTCCAACCCTTCATTTATTTGTTCTATGCGTCCCCTCAATGATAATTTTACCAACCTTAATGGGCTATAAAAATAAGAAGACCAATGCTGTGTATGAGTTTTTTTTTTTTTTGCTAAGTGTTTAATTTCATCTTTAAAAAAGTTTTGATAAAAAAAAAAAAACTTTTTTGCAAACTTTATGCACTTCAACATGCTGTATAATGTATATACTTATATGACAATTGAAAAGTAAAAACTTCAGACTTATTGATAAAAGTACCAGAACAATTTAGATCGTATCTATATTCAGTACGTTTATTATAGGTTCTATATAAATATGCACCTATGTTTGACTAAGAAGTTTTTTCATTACTTATGACTTATGAGTTTTGTTATACAACTAAACATGTGATAAAAAAATATTTTGATTTTTATCTTCGCTAATTGGATATTTTTTTTTATTATTTTTACTATTATTATTATCATTAAGCAGTTGACAGTTTCATTTCCGTGTTTATACTTAATACTGTTTCGAAAGTGTTTGATATTCGATTATTTGACAGAGTATAGTCAAAATAGTATTATTATGATTGATTTAATACGTTAGACGATACCATTATAATATATTGCACTGATAAATAGGTACCTACGCACGTGTAACTGTTCGATATCAAAAGAGTTTAATCCATAAGAGTCGTATAAACATGAAATATTGGCTTTTGAAATTACATAAAATAACTTTAATATTTTATAATATTAAATTTTTTAATAATAGCGATAAAAATATAAATTTAGTTATTAACAGTGTTATTATATATTATTATTTATTTTTAACCATTCATTCATATATTTTTGCTTTATAATTTGTTAATAGTAAATGATATGGGGAACTTTTCTTTTTTGTTCCTATTAACAGTCTTTTTTAAATTCCAACTCGTTAATCTAGATCAGATGACAAAAATAATAACAATATTATGATAAACCGTTGAACCAATCAACAAAAAATGAACGATATTAGAATTTAAGATGTAATTGTTCACTACGAAATAATGTGAAATACGGCCACTCAAAATATGTTGCCTACATCTTTATTATTTTTAAACACACAGGTTTTATAAGTGACTTATATAAGTATATACGATTATAACAGAAGTGCGTGTTCTAAGTTCTTCGAGTTCCCTGTCTGTGTGTGTGGGTGTATGTGCGTGTATACAAATGAGGACCCCCTCGGGTTTGTGAATTTCACGGGGGGATCGCTGAACTACGGATTGTCGTCGTAGGTGGCAGCGACCGCTCTATAAATGCTAATATTATTAGTCAGCATAAAAAAAAAACTTGACCCATCTTTTAACGATTCACGTCGTGCTGTATTCTACGAATATTAAAATATAATACAGCGTATAGTCGAAATATACCTAAATTTATAGTATATATATAGTGCAGTTTTTTCGGAAACACGAATAATAACGCAAGTCAGTTGTTTTCATTGGCGCTGGCCGTCGGCGACGGGCGTCGCGGTGTCGTCGACCCTCGAGTGCACTATTTTTAAAAACGTCGGCGCACACTCCAAATTCGGACCAAAAACCATGCGTCCTCCTCCATCCGTTTTCTCCCTATATCGCAACCGAACACGTCATAATCTCTTAGCCAAGATATTATATATTATTATCGTTTGTGTTATTAAGTGTATTGCTTTGAATCTATCACAAGTAGTCGCGAGTTTCAGGTTAATAAATATATTATTAATATTATAATATATATATTATAATACATCGACTACCGGGCATGACAATAAAACTACGATTCACAAAACCATATGTTCCTCAGCTGAGCGTGAAACGGTATTTTTCGAAAAAAAAAACACATGTGTAATCTGAGAAAATAATACTGCATCGTGATGCCGCCAGGTGTTATAGAAAAATATACACTAGCATTTATTATATATAACAATATGTATATATTATATATATATATATATGAAAAAATAATTATATATATATTATATATAAATAATATTTCTTATGTGCGTACACTATAAAACCGGTTACTACAATTTTAAGAAGCCACCCGTTTATGTTATTACTTACATTATATACATTATACATACGGCTGGGCCAGGATCTACGTTATATACCTGGTTACCAGTTGGCCAGGTGTAGTTTTTGTTTATGCCTATTGACTAGGCACGCGAGTGTTATGTACCTATATTCCGGTCTTCCGGTCTTATGCCACAGTATCCAATTCGGTTTACTATAGATATATTATGTATTATGTTATATTATAGTTATATCCCCCGTTGTTCATCCCATTAGGTGTACGCATATTAACATTTTTTTTTTCTTTAATCGAATAAGCCCGGGCGCGTGTCCTTTTCAAACCACACCGATTTTATTTCAACAGTTAACGGTATAAATAGGTAATTACTTTATTAGTATAATATACCGTTTAGTTTTTATAGCATAACAATATGACGTATAAAGTTGTAATTCCAGCCGTCGACCTCCGAGACTTTAATCGGGTTGTTATCATCATTGCTTTTTTTCGAACGCCTACGCCTCGTCCTCGTTTATATTAAATGTAAATTAATATTATTTTGATGAAATCATATGAACTTTATTTTAACATTTGAATTTACATCATAAGTTCTTTATTTAAAAATACCAGTTAATAAAAATAACAAATTATAATTTACTTTAATATTATAATCACGATTCGTTGTACAATAGTTGTTCAGTTATATAGAATTTTGAACAATTTAAAAGCAAATTAGCGGATATTTTAACAGGAGAAACTAATTTTTTCTTATTTTTTT